TTAAAACGAGCTGATACAAATATTCTGTACGACAATAAATGGTTTTGGGTACAAAATGCATCGTGTGAAACCCGACAGAGCCGATTTTGTCGGATTAAAGACGAAGCTACAATCGGCATACCGTTATTTGGTACTAGTGATGGGATTAGCCATATCGTATGAGCCTTATGAAAGCCGTCAAATAAGGGACGAACACAGGGGAAGCCTGCTTTGGCGGAAACAAACCGAAAAAATCGACCAGGAAGATAACGCGCCTGCTAGTCGAGGAATAACGCCTTCAAGCACGAATAGTGCGGAGAGTCGAAAAGATACCTCAGGGGAATCATGCTGGTGTAGTAAAGACCGGTGTCTCGCAGGGATTTAAAGACAAGCTTGCAAACGGCTTTCCGGAGAAAAAGTTTAGCTTGCTTAAAGAGTTTTTCACCCTAGGTGTCGATAGAAACGTTCATTAACTATGTATAGGCCAAGCAAATACTGTTCGATGAAGTGGGGGTTGAAGCCCATTCCTTCAATAACGATTGTTTTTCGAAACGTTTTTTTACTTATATATGAGTTTTATCACTACAGCACCGGTCAGTTTGTAGGCGGAGCCAATCTGGGCAGTGCGCAGTCACTTATCGGACGGATGCAAAACGTTCAACAAACTTGAAGCTCAGTGTCTGACTAGAAAACGCAGCTGTTAGCGAAAATGGCCGGCCGACAGCAATGCCGTCTAAAAATATTTTCGGCTGTCGCGATAACGCCGATTGGGATTTCAATGTCGCGACAGCAGCGACGTCTCGATAATCGTTGGTGGTAAGTGTACATCAAAAAAACTTGGAAAATTAATGTTTATTTTTGTGATAAATAAGCTTTCCTAGAAAAAAAAAAAAGCAGTCAAACTGTGTCATCCACAACGACAGCTTGGATGAGTATCGATGTACGACCCAAGTAAATGGTAAAAAAAAAAGGCCCTCAAACTCCTAAAGCGAGGAAGAACGGTGGTTGCATAATAGCGTTAGCTCATCGAGATGGGCTGGTAGAATTACTTGACTAAATCGTTTTTGAGTAGTCATAGCATAGGGTGTAGCTTGAGGTAGCCGGTCTTGCCTAACTGAAGACGAAGCTGCAACCGGCATGCTACATATATAACGTAAAGTATAGACCCATGGGCGTATACTGACTGCATCGAATGTTAATGGTTCGATCATCAACAATTCATTGGTGAATAATAACTTCTTGCCGACCTCTGGCATCCACGTAAATTAAATGTTGGGTTATTTAACGTGAACATTGTTATGTCACTTAATTGCATTTCAAGTTCACTCAATGCCAAAACCTATATCTTTGAAGAACGCTGGGTCAATGCCATCGACAGTATAACACTGATTTTATCGATCACCGGTTACAATCTGGTTGGCGTTTCCAACATTGGAACTAGCAACTTAACTCTTGATACGAGGCTCACGAGATTTTGCGAGAGGATGGTGGTCGAGTAGTGATGGAAGGTTCTGCGAGAGTGTGGGCAGGAGGTGCCGACCAGCAAGTAAACAGTCACCCAGGAGGATGCCATTAAGGCGACGCCAGAGTAACAGAGACCGTTACAAACGATAATTGATGGCCACAGTTCGGAAACGCCAGTTGACTTTTGAGCCGGTCTTGCCTGCAGAAGCCAGACCGTTTCGTGTGCTTCTGTCTTCAGAGATCAGCCGTTTAAAGCTCACAGGCTAGTAAACTGGGTCACCGACCCACTTGACGCTTTCTCACTCGTTTTCTCTTTATCATTGTATCTTTTAGCTGGTAGCATTGGTTCGTTTCATTTCGCAAGCCACTGACGACGTATAAGCTAGGAAGAGATGGCGGCGGGCAACGTCGATGTACAAATGAATCTTTTTTTGTCCGTGCTCTCTTCAAGATTGCGCCGTACGATCGCAGTCAATCTCCCCATCCCCGAATATCCTGGTGTCCCGCTGATTCTTTGTTGCTGAATTCACCCTCTTGGACCATTTTGCCCCTAAATTGCGCCCCATCTATTAACGATTGCCTGAGCAGCGATCTAGCCCAACGGAGAGCGCTGTTGAGGCGTCTATGGGTATTGGACAGCGGTGGTGGTTCTTTCGAGAACGAACAAGACGTTTCTCAATTAGCATACTTTATTTAGATCCTTTTCGTGTCTGCGGTGCCGGCCCAAGACCTGGTGGCTGCATGCCAGTAAACGACTGCGTTGTAGTAGTCCGCTCTCCAGGCGGACGGTATACCTTGCACTCTTGAATTCGGGGGCTTGGCCGAGGGCGGATAGATGGGATAAATGCATTAATCGTTTAACAAAACAGTCTGCCGGCGTCGTTTCATCGTTCGGTTTCTTGTCCTTCACTCCCTTAGAATTTCCGTTTTCGTCTCAAGAGAAAAAAGACACTGCTGATCCTTTTTGAATCTTCTTGTCTTCATTCTATTACTCTTTCATTCTCAACTGGCCTCAATCTGCTAAAATTCGTTACCATGGAAACACCCTGATCACTTACCAGTACGCAGGATTCCGCTGTAATTTAGTAATTGGAAGCAAATAACAAGAATAAACACTGAACAAAAAATATGGAATGTCGTTATGAAGTAGAAAGCTAGGTTGCCCATAGCTGCTTTTAAATGCTACCAAGCCTGCATTCTGATCACAATGCCAGTAAACGCATATTTATCTTGCCAAGACAGACCCAGTTAGCAACAGGTGCCAGAGACTTTTTGTGGTATCTTCTTGAGCCTTTCATTGCGGTCTTGATCAAAGCCGTTTTCAAACATTCAGTTGAATTTAAAAACGCCTATTGCTTTTTGAAGACCCCGTTGACATCGCAGATTATCTCCTGTATCAAGCGTTTTACTTCAAATAAATAGGCTGTTTATATTCGAAATAATTTTTAGATTTGGGCAGACTGGATGAAGACTGATTTGGAGATTGCTTCACATCCTGCTGGTCATGCATTCGTATTGTTTGCACTACCCATTAGTTAAGAAGACTCAAAGAAAAGTTACATAGGGCATCCACGTCCGAATTGTGCCTTATGATCATATTGTTCCTGAAACTGTATCTAAACAAAGACATATCTTAATTATCTTTTGTATATGCTGGAAATGCCCTGTTGGACGGTCATACCTACCCTAATATGACCACCATTTATTGCAGTTTCAATTCGAGACCTAAGCCACTTCATTTTTATAGTCATTTTCGAAATATTTCCACTTAAATTCGCAAAGTAATCGTGCATGAATCGTAAAAGTATAAACTTTTTAAAATGCTACTCAAACCGGCCAAAAAGGTTTACAAAGGGGCAAAAAGTCTTAAAGAACTAATCGCCGGAGCTTACTTAGAGTCAATTAAAGACTGATATTGTCCTCTGTAAAATGGCATTTAGCTTCTGCACCAAAGACTTAGGTGTATCAAAAATGTTTTGAGCTTTCTGAACTTTATTTTTAATAAGAAGCCTTTAGTTCGCCTTACACATATTTGCTGGTCTCTCTCGAGTTTTCCAGAAGCCGTACGAAAATTGTCAATAATATAGATCGTTAATTTCATTTCGTATATTTCAAGGGTTTGTCTAGTGCAGAAAGACTGGATAACAGCAGATGTTCATCGAGATTCGGAAACGATGCGCCGGATTTACCCATGATGGGTTCGTTGTTTTAGGCTAGAAAGAAATTGCTTTACTTTGCCACCAATGATGGCGGCCGACCAAAAGCCCTTAAACACAAAAGGTCAGCCAAAGT